AGGTGATTCAGGATAGACTTCGTACACCCCAGTCCAGACAGAAGAGTTACGCGGACCCGAAGGCTCGTGATATTTTCTATATGGTTGGAGAGCGGGTTCTGCTTCGGGTATCGCCTATGAAAGACGTTATGAGATTTGGAAAGAAAGGGAAGTTGAGTCCGAGGTTTATTGGCCCTTTTAAAATATTGAGGCGTGTTAGGAAGGTTGCTTATGAGCTTGCCTTACCTCTTAGCTTGGCAGGAGTTCATCCGGTATTTCATGTTTCGATGCTCCGGAGGTATCACAGTGATCCGTCTCAAGTGTTGGATTTCAGTTCAGTCCAGTTGGACAAGGATCTATCTTATGTTGAGGAGCCAATGGCAATATTGGACAGGCATGTCAGAAAGCTGAGGTCAAAGAACATTGCATCAGTGAAGGTTCAGTGGCGGGGTCATCCGGTCAAGGAGGCAACTTGGGAGACTGAGCAGGATATGTGTAGTCGTTACCCTCATCTTTTCACTACTTCAGGTATGTCTCTATGCTCGTTCGAGGACGAATGAATGTTTAAGTGTAGGAGGATGTGACGACCCGACCGGTCGTCTTAAGAATTAATGCCCCGATCCCCTATTAACTACTTTCCCCAAATTTATTTCTGCTATTTTGATTTGCCGGGATTCGGTTTTGAGTTTCAGAGAGTTTTGGGACACTTAGTCCCTAAATGAGAGCTTAAGTGTTGGAAATTTGACCGTAGTTGGAACAGTGTGAAGATGGCCTTGGAATAGAAATTTGATGGTTATGTTAGCTCCGTTGGGTAATTTCGGGGTCATGAGCATGTTCGGATTGTGTTTTGGAGGTTCGTAGCTATTTATGATCTGAACTGAGGTGCGGGATACCAAGAGGTCCCTGGCATGTATATTGAGGATACCAAGAGATCCTCGGAATACCGAGAGTTCCCTAGCATATATTGAGGATACCAAGATACAAAGAGATCCTTAGTTATCATCCTTGTTATGAGTGGTACTTCCTTGTGGTTTGCCTTCATCTCTGTTTCCGTTATTGTACTCTTATTATCCTGTGTAGATTCTTACTGTAGATTTTCAATTGTATTGCTTATCTTATCATGTCATCTTTATATTTATTTAATCTCAGTAGGGCCCTGACCTTCCTCGTCACTACCCAACCGAGGTTAGGCTTGGCACTTACTGAGAACCGCTGTGGTGTACTCATGCCTCTTCTGCGCATGTTTGTCATGTGCAGATCTAGGTTCCGCTACTCAGGCCTATCATCCTTGAGGAGGCGACTGCTCTAGAGACTTCGAGGTACATCTGTCGCGTCCGGAGACCGAGAAGTCCCTTTCTATTCCTGCTTTTAGTATTTAGCCCTTCTGTATTTTTTTCTATTTTATTAGACATTCCGAAGTTAGAGCTATGTAGTATTGATCTTAGCTTGTGATTTGTGGGTTTTCGGGTCTTGGATTTATGTATTGGTATTGAGAGTTTAACATGGTGTAAGCCGAGGCACATTTAAACATTGTTTCTACTTTATTTCTGTTTTAAATTGTTTACTTTCGCAAATTTTGGTTTTCCTTCCGCAAATTAGGCTTACCTAGTCGTAGAGACTAGGTACCGTTACGATGGTTCACGGAGGGCGAACCGGGGTCGTGACATCAACTCCCGATCAAACTTTTCAAAATCTCTCATTTTCCAACTTTTGTCAATTCGTGCCGAAACGACCTACGGACCTCCAAATCTATCCGGATACTTTGAAAGAATGAATTAAAGAGGAGAGAAGAAACTTTGGCTTTCCATAAATAATTCAAGAAGACGACGACGCGTATAATGAAATACTATCTACCGGAGATAGCGGGGATGCAGAAGAACAAGTGCTACCAATTTCAAGCGACGAACTACAAAAAGTTATTGAAAAATTGCGTAAATCATTTAAAAACAATATGTAATATTATTTTTACAAGTGTTGAAATGGGAATAAATACTTGTAACTTGTATTAAAAATCTAATATTTATATTGCATCAAATAAATAAAAGGCACTTCATAGTCTTGAATTTTATTTATCCATTAAAGTTTATTTGTATTTAAATATAATATTTTTAAATTTTTAATTTTAAAATATCCTGAGTACGCTTACCACCCCTTTAAGTACCCTCTTCCTCTTAGGACCGGTAGGGGCACATATAAAATACTCGTACCCTTAAATTCACTTAACCCAACTCCCCTCAAGGAACCCCCTCTCACGTACCAGTATTGCCTCTGTACCTAGTCCCCTTAAGAACCATTACCCTCCCTTTAGACAACCATATATCAATTAGACACATCTTGTTGGGACAACATAAAAAAATAGAAGTCGTACATTTCACACACAACTAGCGTGGCAAGAAAACCAATTAGACAGGGACATGTGGATTTTGATCCCAAATACGAAAAAGAAAAAAAGTTTATAAGGAAAAAAAAACTATGCCCATCAAAAGCTCTAATAAGACAGCAGCACACCTCCTCCCCCTTCCCCTTGCCGCCTCCTCCTTCTCTATCACTTCCGTTATTCCATTCTAGTTTTTTCTGTAACTTTTTCTTAAAATTTCAAGTGAGTTTTGGCAAGTTAAATCATAAAAAATCAGCTACTATGGTTTATAAAAAGGGGTTCTTGAGCAGAATTGGGGAGTAAGACTGATATAAAGAAGATTTCAATACAATTATCAATGTCCTCTGAAAATTCCAAGGACCACAGTGGCTCCTATATATATTCATCCTTTGCAAAGATTATCTTTGTTCCATCATTGACACACCACTACACCACTTTCTTTTTTCTTCCAGGGTTATATGAAATATTAAGTTCGAGGTGTCCGGCCAACTACTTTAGTTCCCTGTTTTCAAATTGGGTTTGTCATTTGTGGTTTTCTTTTTAATTAGATATTTGTTTCTGGATTTTATTATTGTACATTATCCAGCAACAAGTTTAGACGGGGGTTTTCTGTTATCAAAGTTATCAGAAAAATTGCAGTTGATTATGGTGGTTTTAAAATTGGGAAGAGATTGGAGAAACCAAGTCTAATATTTTGTGGGAGTGTCCTTGGTGCTGGCGTTCTGATGGAGAAGTGAAAAACAAGTTTGAAATGAAATTTATTGACGGCCGTGAAGTTTTCTGGCAAGACTCGACGTCAAGAAAATCAGAGAGATCAAAAAAAGTGTAAAGACAGAAAGAAAAAGAAAAAAAATGAAATTAACCATTTTTATGCAATGACGCGCTCAAAGAGAGTGCAAAATGAATACTTTATCATGTCAGCAAAATGTGTCAAATTGATTATCTTTTATATGAGTTTAAGTGTTCAATAAGTACTACCTCGAGTTCAAATGTCTATATGGAAAAATCAGACAAGGGGACTGTATATGTATTTCGCCTATTTATTTGGAGTCCTCCCACTTTTTATGATGGTAATAAATACGATATAGATAGATCAAATGTTGTTATTCTTTCTGTCCTAATTTATTTGTTGTACTTTTTTATTAGTATGTCTCAAAAGAATGTCATACTTTATGATTTAGAAATAATCTAACTTTAAATTGCTTACTTTATAGTTAATGAAATAATTCATAATCACACAAATGTACATGACTTATTTTAGACTATAAGTTTCAAATTTTTTTTTTTATTTTTAAATTTCGCGTTGAGTCAAACAGTGCTACATAAATTGGAACAGTGGAAGTACTTTTTATCTTACACCTTTATGTAATTTTTTACTCCATTCGTCTCATTATATGGTGTTGTTTGTTTAGACACATAATTTTAAAAAAAAAGACTTTTGGAACTTGTGATAAAAAATAAATTACAAATACTTTTGTGGTTATAAATGTCACACCTCCTTTTTCCTACCCCGGAAAGGGTATAAGGGAGTTTTTTCAATTAAAGTGACAATCGAAACGGGATTATTTATTTAGAAATCAGAGTCACTTGGGATAATTTATGGTGTCCCAAGTCACCGGTTTAAATCCCGAGTCGAGAAAAGATTGACTCTGTTTTACGGTCCGCAAACACAGAAATCCGGGTAAGGAATTCTGTTAATCCGGGAGAAGGTGTTAGGCATTCCCGGATTCCATGGTTTTAGCACGGTCACTCAACTGTTAATATTGGCCTACTATCTGATTAATTACACATTTTTAACTTTATAACCGTTTTTATCCATTCAAGGAACTATTTCAAGGTTATTTAAAACACATCGTAAGCCACGCTACAATGCACCCGTGATTCACGACACGTTCTATTTAACCTTGTTAGAGATTAGAATCGGGTCACATGAAATGGACACCCGGGTTTTAGTTAACACGCCTAAAACAAACTATGAGATTCATTTTTAGTATCTAAGTTATAAAATATGAGAGCCAGAGGTGATTTAATTAGGATGGCACACCTAACTCCGTTCTAAAGAACTATACTTAATTAGGTCTAAGGGCATTTTTATTCACAAATAACTCGAATTTAAAGCTATTGATGATGAGCAAAAAAGTATACAGCGGGCCTGTAATAATGTGGCTAAAGTGTTGGGCCAATAGTTGGCCCAGTATATTATTAAACGAGCATACCAAGGTGGGGGGAAATGTTGGGACTGCATAGGCTCGAAATCGAATCCCACAGACCTGGTCCTTGAAACACTTGTCAGGCTTCATGCAGTCAAGGCCACTTCGTTTAGGGCTGACGCCCAAGCCCAAACACCCACAAAAATACATATATGAAATTAATTAAAAGTGAAATAACCAACTGTTAACACATGTTCTCATGTAGATATGCATTAGGCAGCAAAGTTGGACCTTAGTTCAAACATGTAAAAGGTCATTGGGCCTAAATTGAGGCCCAACTATCCATGATCCACACATGACATATAATTCTCAGCACTTCTCAGTCTAAACTCATGCTTATATATATGACAAACAGTAATTATGACTTCAAACAATAACTCTAACATCAGCATTCAGGCTTTTAATCACCTAGCTGATAAATAACTGAGAATGTATTAACTATTGAATGTACTACTGACTCATCATCAACATAAAAATGAATAGACTCCCATCTTAACAAAACATCCATGTAGCTGAAGCTTCAAACAGATCTCCTAAAATGTAACTTACATGCACAAATACCTTCCCCACACCTCACAACATGGTCCATACTTAGAACACACATCTATTATGTACAAATTTTTTAGCTAACTTCTAATATGCTGAAAGCAAAACGGGGAGGGGAAAAAACAAAATGAAATAGACTTAAACATCATAAAACCAGTCTCCAGCAAAGCAAAAGAACAGCTACTAAGTGACAACATCCAACGAACTTAAAACTTTCAGGTGTATTATTCACATGATCACAGGGGTTCAACCTTACATACCTGAATACAACCAAAAACAACAACAGAACTTCAGCAAAAAGATGGTAAGATCAGCAGAGCTTAAAACAGCAGTAATCAACAACTAACAACCAGCTTAAATCATGTTTTGAACCCAGAAACCAGCAGTGTATTCAAGCTTTTTAAAACCAAGAAAAATGAGAACTAGCTAATCAATGGAACAGTATTTGAGATCCCTTTTTGTGTTTTTTTTTCTAATTCTGAAACTCTATCAGTGTGTGTATATTTTTTAGTGTTCTAGGTGCAGAGAATAATGCTGAAAAGTCTATCTAAAGTGAAGGAAATGGCCCTATTTATCTCCAAAATTTGTTGTGTGCCTTCCAAGTCAAAGAATGAATTTTTTTTCCAAAATACCCCTCACAAAGCAACTTTTCTAACAGCAAGCGGACAACTGGCCATTTCTAATTGGCTTCAGCAACTTGTACTGGTAGAATAGCACCAGTTGTCCATGCCACAAAACATTCTAGATATCTTATCCCATTTCTAAACTCCCAAATTAACTCCCTTAAGTTTTCTTTACTTACAAATGAACCCCTACAAATCCCTAAGAATTGAAAAATATGGCCAACAGAAACAATCAACACAAGTGACAGCAAATGGATCAAAACCAAGATTGAACATCTTAAAAAAATAGAAAAATAATAATCTTAAGACCTCCAAACTTGATTTTGACTAAAACTAAATTAGTCAAAACAAATTAACAAATTAGGAGAATCCAAGATGCCTAAAACTAACATTAATGAATTATATTATTTATTATATGCCTATTTCAGAATTAGATTAACCAACAGGTCCAAACAAAATAAGCAATGATAACTAAAACTAAAGAGAAGCTTGATATGCACTAGAGAACTAGGCTGGTTGACATGAAAAAAAACAAATAAAACCCTAACGGCCCAAAGAATATGGCCTCCTAAACTACTTAGTTTGGTCATTGAAATGACAAACTAGGAAACAGGATGAACAAAACAAACAGAAAAAAAAAGAAGATAAACAAGAGAATGATAACATAAGAGAATAAAAGGAAAAAAAAAAGACGGGGGGAATGTACCTATACCGGAACGTGAATCAAACGGCTTAAAGGGAAGTAGACGCCTCTGATTTAAGTTGCAATAGGTGTTAGGCGACTGTTCTCGTCGAGAACAGACGGATAACACCCATTTTCCGGCTCAAATCTTCTTTGAAAAAAAAAATCAATTTGTGACGGCTTTGCATGCTCTCAGATCCGAAATTGAACCAATTTGGGGAAGAATCAAAAGGATTGACTTGGTAATTTAGAAAGAAGAGGAGGTGAGGAATGTTTGGTGTAATTTTGGAGTGATTTAGGGGCGTTTATGGAGTTGCCACCGACGGAGGATTTCAAGGCGGCAGTCTCTAGGGTTTTGAGAGATGGTGAGGTGAGGAGATGGAATGAGGGGGGTTGAATGGGGGGAGGGCTTGGTTTGGACACTTTTATACTTGGGGTTTGATAAGTTTCGGGCCGTTGGATCTCAAAGATTCAACGGTCGTGATTAGGGACAAGGGAAACGGGGTCGTTTGGCTGCAATGGGGCTTGGGACCGGGTAGCTGGGATTTGGGCTTGGAAGATTGGAACGGGTAAAGGGGAAATTTGGGCTTCACCATGGCTTAGCCCAATTAAATCAGCCATTGTGCAATTAACCCCATTTATTTTCTATTCTTTTTTGCTTTTCTTTTTCTTTCTTTTTTTTTCAATTAAAAACCTAAAATAAAATCCTAAATTAATATAGATTGTAACAATAACCAATTTCATAAAAAAATATAAAAATTCCTTAATCCTAAATCAAAGAGAAAAACCATTATTCTAAAATTAAGCTAAAAATGCAACAATGGACTATTTTTGTAATTTCAATTTTGATAGAACAAATAATTAGCTAATTAATCCTAAAAACATAGAAACCAACTCTAAATGCAATGCATGACATTTTTTGTACTTTTTCGTGATTTTAATAAAATAAGCATGCACAGAAAAATGCAAACAATTAACACGATTTCCTTCCAATATCCTATAAAATTGCAAATAATTAGAAAAAAAATTATTTCTTTAATTTGTAGGAGTATTTCACATAGGAAAAAAATCACGTGCTCACAGCTGCCCCTCTTTGCTCGGAAACACGAAGAGTTTTCGGGCAAAGATAAAGTGAGCGGATACGAGCTATTTTTGCCCGTTTGAGTATTTCATGGGAAGCATTTTTGAAAGATTTGACCGCGCCCTGCTTCCGAGGTTGCCTACATACCCTTTGTTATAAAGGAATCAGGTCAGTGTAGTTTGGAAAGTTTTGGTAGCTGGGACTACCGGGAAGCTGTGATTTCACTGCTGCTGCTGCTATTGCTCGCTGAACTCCTTATTACACAAAGACAAAATAAAAAGTAGGTAGGCTAAACTATGATCTATGAATTACAAGAATCCTATCTACTATCTTCAAACTTGGTCTTGCTTCTTCTACAGTTCTGTTGTGCATCTTGAACTGTCGACCTGCACTCTCAAGGAGAATTTATGTTGTTGCTAATGCGAATTGAATTCTGAGATGGGTTCGCTTGTTTTCCAGGTGGGTGCCTGATTTTCGGCACTTGAACTGCACTCTCTAGGTGGGCGCCTGATTTCCAAAACTATTCCCTTGTTTTCCAGGTGGGCGCTTGATTTGCCAAAACTTGAGTTGTATTCCCTTATTCTCCAGATGGGCACCTGATTGCCAAAACTTTAACTGTTCCCTTGTTCTCCATGAGGGCGCCTGATTGCCAAAACTTTAATTGTTTTCCCTTATTCTCTAGGTGGGCGCCTGATGGCCAAAACTTTAACTGTATTCCCTTGTTCTCCAGGTGGGCGCCTGATTACCAAGACTTTAACTGTATTCCCTTGTTCTCTAGATGGGCGCCTGATTGCCAAAACTTTAATTGTATTTCCTTGTTCTCCAGGTGGGCGCCTGATTACCAAGACTTTAACTGTATTCCCTTGTTCTCTAGATGGGCGCCTGATTGCCAAAACTTTAATTGTATTTCCTTGTTCTCCAGGTGGGCGCCTGATTACCAAGACTTTAATTGTATTCCCTTATTCTCCAAGTGGGTACCTGATTGCCAAAACTTTAACTGTATTCCCTTGTTCTCCAGGTGGGCGCCTGATTGCCAAAACTTGAACTGTATTCCCGTGTTCTCCAGGTGGGCGCCTGGTTGCCAAAACTTGAACTGTATTCCCTTGTTCTTCAGGTGGGTGCCTGATTGCCAAAACATGAACTGTATTCCCTTGTTCTTCAGGTGGGTGCCTGATTGCCAAAACATGAACTGTATTCCCTTGTTCTCTAGGTGGGCGCCTGATTACAACAAAATAGACAAAACAAAGAAACTTTTCTGCCCCAGTTTGGTATATGGGCGCATCTGTGAGTGTTAATCGAATCCCGTTATCAAAAAGCTATAAGAACTCAAAAGCTAAATCCTATTATCTAGGAGGGCTATGACAATTGAAATTAAATCCCATCTTAAGAGTGAAAACTTTAAAGCTAACTTATATTTCCCAAAGGTAGAGCTTATGTTAAATCTTGTTATCCATGAAGGTCTTGGAATTCAACTAAGTCCTATTATCCAGGAGGGTCCTGATAATCCCAAAAATTGAATCTCATTATCCAGGAGGGCCCTGAAAACTTTAAACTAAATCTCATTATCCAGGAGGATCCTAAAGATTTATGGTTGAACCCGTCTGGTGCATGCTTTCCCCACGGAGGATTCCTCAGAATAAACGAAATTTCCTGCCCCTATTTTAACCAAAGAAAATTTTATCAGTTTAAAAATATGGTGGTTAGTTTGCGGCATTTTTGCTGAAGGTGGCCCTTTCACTACCGTGCTTTGCTTTGACTGGCTGTCTTGAACTGGCCAAGAATAATTTGCCTTTCTAACTGAATTCCAACCACAGGACCCTGAATGACCCAAGTACTCTACACCCAACCCGCTGTTTTACATTTCTGTCCTTCCTACCTGAACCTCTATATCTTCCACAAAATTCCCAAACCACTCGACCAATGGAGCTTTCACTGACGCCTTATTTTCCACCTTGCATCATGCCATCTCTGGTATGTTTGGCCACACTTTGCTTTGTGCATTTTGGAAGTTGGTAGTAAGCTTTGAAATCCTTTCTCACTTGCTTAAACAAGGCTGACATTGGAACAACCTTAGCGAAATAAACCCAAAAGAAATGAAATGCAATGACTTCGAGAGTTAGAAATAAAGAAGAAAAATCAAAACAAAAAGATTGTTTGAGGAAGAAAAGGACAAGGGACTTATCTGAGCGAGGTTGCTGGAATCAATGATCATGACATGCATTTCGGATTAATTTGCCTAGTCCATTCAATTAATCTTATTTTAGTCTTCACACTCTCTGCCTGGGGTTCCCATAATCTGATTCCTTTGCAAAGTCAACAACTTTATTCGGCTTGCGGTGCCTTGAAGGGTTTTCACCAACAACCTCTCTCATTTATTTATGTCTCAACTCACTGTCGCCTTACGGTTCTCATGAGGGTTTTCACCAATAAGACTCTCTCATTTTTCATTTCTCTCAGCTTTTTGTCACCTTATGGTGCCCGTAAGGGTTTTCACCAATAAGACTCTCTCATTTTTCATTTTTCCTACTTAGAACAGAGTGTTGCCCCTGATATGAATCATACCTCTACTTGCTCGACTTGGCGTCCCTCGAAGATTGATCGGAAGGTCTTTATTTGGACTATAATGTGGGCTTTTGGATAGGGTTTAGAAAGAAAGAATATCATAAAGGCTCAAAACAACTTGAATGGGTTAAAATTACAACTTTTGGAATCAGATCTCTTACAAAACCACAACTTCTGCCCCAGTTTTCTTTCTTAGGGGCTTTGAATTTCATATTTGATAGCACTGAACCATGAGGCTGCCTATGTATCCTTAAAAGGAATCAGGTCGAACGTAGTTCATGTCATAGAAATTGCTTTATTGTTGTTACTTTTCTCTTTTCTCTTTTTTTCTCTCTTTTTTTCTTCTTCTTCTTTTTCGGTCTTTTTCATTCTTTTCTTTCTCTTTTTCTCTTATTTTTTCCTCTTTTCCTTCTTTATTCACCTTTTGCGTCCATGTTTCTGAACTTAGCTACTGATTCCAAAAGAGGGGTATGAAAGAAATAAATAAGGCTCAAAGGGGTAACAAAGGATAAAGTGTTTAGATAGCAGAATAAAATGTCTTCGTCATTCCAATCTTCAAAACTTGCCAAGTACAAACAACACAATTTAAACCAAATAAATCATACATAATATCTTTTGACTGCATCATAATTGATAGCCATATCTACACATTTGCCTTCTATATCAGTTAAATACAAAGCACCATTGGACAACACTCTCGTTACGATGAATGACCCTTGCCGATTTGGGGCGAACTTGCCTTTTGCTTCAGCCTGATGTGGAAGGATGCGTTTCAATACTCGCTGACCCACTTCAAATTTTCGGGGACACACCTTCTTGTTGTATACTTTTGTCATTCTCTTTTGATAAAACTGACCATGACACATTGCTGCCAGTCTTTTCTCGTCAATCAGACTCAATTTCTCCAAACGGTTTTTGACCCACTGATCATCATCAATTTCAGCTTCAGTAATAATCCGAAGAGATATAATTTCAACTTCCACGGGTATCACTGCTTCAGTGCCATATACAAACAAATAAGGGGTTGTACCTACTGATGTGTGAACAGTAGTGCGATAACCCAGCAAAGCAAAAGGCAGCTTCTTATGCCACTGCATGGAACCTTGTACCATCTTCTGAAGTATCTTCTTTATGTTCTTATTGGCCACCTCGACGACTACATTTGCCTTGGGGAGATAAGGAGTGGAATTCCGATGCGTAATCTTAAATTGTTGACATACTTCTTTCATCAAATGACTGTTAAGATTAGCACCATTATCTGTGATGATCATATTTGGGATTCTGAGTCGACAAATGATATTTGAATGAACAAAGTCGACCACTGCCTTCTTGGTCACAGATTTGAAAGTCTTAGCTTCAACCCACTTAGTGAAATAATCGATGGCCACCAGAATGAACCTGTGCCCGTTTGATACCGCGGGCTCAATTGGTCCAATGATATCCATGTCCCAAGCAACAAAGGGAGATGGTGTGGACATTGTGTGCAACTCAGATGGTGGAGAATGAATCAAGTCTTTGTGTACCTGGCATTGATGACATTTATGCACAAAGCTGATGCAATCTCATTCCCTGGTGAGCCAATAATACCCCGCTCGAAGAATCTTCTTTGCCAGAACATACCCGCTCATATGCGGCCCGCAAACTCCAGAATGTACCTCGATCATAATAGTCGTGGCTTGCTTAGCATCGATGCACCTCAACAGCACAAGATCTGGAGTTCTTTTGTACAAGACTCCCCCGC